ATTATTTTGCATGTAGATACCCAGTTTTCCTGTGCCATGTATTGAAAAGACTTTCATTTCCCCATTGTGTCTTCTCAGTGTCCATGTTAAAACTTAGATAATCATATATGCTGGGGTTTATCTCTTGGCTTTCTATTCTATTCCATTGATATACATATCTGTTTTATGTCAATATGATACAGTTTTGATTAATATAACTTTGCAACATAATTTGAAATCAGGTAGTGTGATGCCTCCAACTTTATTTTTCTTTCTCAAGATTGCTTTGGCTATTTGGGGTCTTTTGTGGTTCCACACAAAATTGAGAATTTTTTAAAATTTCTGTTTAAAATGCCATTGGAATGTTGACAGAAATTGCATTGAATCTGCTGTTAGTGTATAGAAATGCTACCAATATTTGTATGTTGATTTTACACGTGCAACTTTACTGAATTGGTTTAATATTAGTAATTCTGTCTTTTTATTGCCAAACTTTGACTATTTACATCTAAAGTAATTACTGATAAATAAGAATTTACTATTGACAGTTACTTAATGGTTTTATGGCTGTTTGTGGAGCCTTTGTTCCTGTATTTGTCCCTTGCTTCCTTCCTTTGTGATTTGATGTTTTTTGTAGTGGTATGTTTTGATTCCACTCTCTTTATCTTTTGCAAATCAACTATAGGTTCTGCTTTGTGTTTACCATAAAGTTATACTAGTCTATTTTAAGCTGATAACAACTGAACTTTAATCACATGCCTCAGGTTTGCTGGAATATTTCTAATCCATATGATATTTAAGTGCCTCCTCAAAAATGGATGACCTTTGATGGACATTTATACTGGAACGTCTTCACTGAGTACAGGATTGCATTAACCAACCTAGCAGGCTGTTAGCACTTATCCAGGCACTCAAATCAATTATTAATGCCTAAATCCCACGTGATATACCATATTGATTTCTGATTTTTGTCTCGTTAGTCTTTTTCAGCCTAACCATTGAATTCACTCATATGCCTTTTCCTCAGACCCCAGCAAATATTTAGAAAATCCTATAACTCTTTTAGTTTAAACTTTATATTTTCAGAGCAGGCTTTGTACTTCTCTATATAAGTTGCAGTGTGACCTAATTCTTGTTATAGTCCTAAGGGCAACTGGTCCAGATAAAGCCAACCAAAAATAAAGGTCTTTTTTTTTTTTTTTTTTTTTTTTTTTTTCTTTTTTTTTTTTTGTTTTTTTTTTTTTTTTTTTTTGGAGATGGAGTTTTATTGTAATTTTAATTATGTGCAAGCAAAGCCTGATAGTTAACTTCATGCTGCATTTTTTTTTTTTTTTTTTTTTAACTTCAAGGAAAGGCTGGTTTATTCAGACTTGGATGAAAGAGTAGCTCCACCAGCAAAAAGGGTAAGCATTGGGAGATCAAGTGGCAGTGACATTTAGTTGTAATGGAGACTACAGTTCCTTGCCTTGACCTACGTTTCATTCTATACAAACACAAGTGAAAACTTGAATAATAATAGTCTACATTTATTCTACATATAAGGAGGACTTCCAAAAGTTTGTGGGAAAAAAATGGAATTAAAAGATAAAAATATAAACTTTCTCACCATAAGCTCCATCAAGTACAAGACACTTTTGTAAGCAATGATATCAGCCATTTAGTCCATCTCTACTGAACTGAGGGTCCTAGGAAATTGAACCATGTCAATGCAGCTTTTTTACATTATGAAATGAAGAAGAAGTTTCATTTAAGGATTTTTTTAAGATTAGGAAACAAAAAGAAGTTAGAAGAAGCCAAATCAGGACTTCAGTGTAGATGCCTAATGATTTCCCACCAAACTCTCACAAAATTGCCTTTGTTTGATGAGAGGAATAAGCAGGAGGAGCTTTGTTTTGGTGGAGAAGAACTCTCTAGTAAAGCTTTCCTGGGTGTTTTTCTGCTAAAGCTTTGGCTAACTTTCTCAAAACACTCTCATAATAAGCAAATGTTAATGTTCTTTGGCCCTTTAGAAAGTCAAAAAGAAAAATTCCTTGAGAATCCCAAAAAAACTGTGGCCATTATCTTTGCTCTTACTGGTCCACTTTTGTTTTGACTGGACTACTTACACTTCTTGGTAGCCATTGCTTTGATTGTGCTTTGTTTTCAGGATCATACTGGTAAAGCCATGCTTCATGTCCTATTATAATTCTTCAAAGAAATGCTTCAGGATATTGTTCCCACTTGTTTTAAATTTCCACTGAAAGCTCTGCTCTTCTCTGCTGTTGATCTGGATGCAACAGTTTTGGCAGCTGTCGAGTAAAATGTTTGCTCACCTTTTTCAGTCAGAATTGTGTAAGTTAAACCAATTGAAATGTCTATGGAGTTGGCTATTGTTTGTGCTGTTAATCAGTAGTCCTCTTCAATTAGGGTATAACAAGTTTAATTTTTTTCTTTAAAAATTGATGTGAATGCTCTGCTCCTGCAAACTTTGTCTTCCAACATAGAACATAGTCATCCCTTTTTAAAATGAGTTATACAGTTTTAAACTGATAATTTCTTTGGGGAATTGTCTCCACAAACTTTCTGTAAAGCATCAGTGATTTCACCATTTTTCTGCCCAAGCTTCACCATAAATTTGATGTTTGTTCTTGCTTCAATTTCAGAAGAAATCATGTTGTTCTGATATGGGCTCTTTTCACACTGATGTCTTATCCTTCCTAGTACCTCATACTAGATTCCTTTTAGACATGTTATCACAAGTTAGTATGAATTTATTTTGGTGCAAAAAGAATTTGAAGTCCATGCATAGTTTTTTTCATAAGAAGCATTTTCCATGAACTTGTAGAAGAAAGCTTGTGTAATCAGAGTCCAGTATTCCTGAGATAAGGAAGTTATACAGGTACTCCTTAAATATGTGAGCCAGCTAATCCCAGAAATCATTTTTAGGTGCTCTTTCCTGGGGCTTTTCTGTGCACAAATACTTATTTCAGGGTCACACCAAGAAAAAGTACCATATTCAAATGGAATAAATGAGAAAATTTAATTTCCAACAGTGCAAGTGGTATTATAGAAGACCAACAAGGAATGGTTAAGTATCCAGGACTAGCTACAGCAGGAAGCCATTACTGTTTCTAATGCTGAGGGCAGTAGTCATGGAGAATGTGTTGTGTGTGTGTGTGTGTGTGTGTGTGTGTGTGTGTATGTGTGTGATGTGTTTGTGTCACTTTATTCATACCTTTATAGAGTGTTCAAATCATCTTAGTAAATGTTTTCATTTTTCCTACTTTAAGAAAAACATTTACTTCCTTTAAGAAGATGTAAATAGAATAATTGTGGTAGCAAATGGTTATATTTTGCGTGCTCATGAGTTTACTGGTTAATAAAATAATTGTGTATGTAAGACAATACTTAATTTTCCATCTTTGAATTGACAAAGACTCTTCCCTTGACCAAAATTTAGTCAGACTCTTCTTGTACCACTTTCCAAATAAGCCTCGACCTTGGCCCTCTTCTCCACTGAACCTGCATAGCCCAGTTTTAGCAAGAATACTGCTAAGAGTTTAGGGAGGATCTTCCAGCCTTGATATCTGATTACGCTTGATATCTGATCTAATTCCTCTTCTCCATCCTTGATATGTTCTTGCCTGCCTGCAGCAAGAATCCTGTTAGGTCAGTTTAGCAAGAATTCTCCACTACCTTTGATGTCTCTTTTTAATAATTTTCCACCCACAGAAACTACAGCCTGCTCCATAGCCATAAATTCCCACCTGTTTTCGTTGTACTAGGAACTGAGCCCAAACCTTTACTGAGATCTCTTTTCTTCTATTATAATAATTTCTCAATAAAATATATGGTTCCTCAAAAACCAACTAATGTTTTTACCACATTAAATATTGTCAGGTTTTAGTTTTCTTTAGCAAATACTCTCTATGAAATAAAAGTCAGTTTCTTTGGTTAATGTCATAATTACTAAGAGTCATTGAAACTAGAAGTAATAATAACCAAAAAATATGACAGGCTATGTAATGTAATAGGATCTGGTTTTGTTTATCAAGAGGGAGAAAGGGGTAGATTCATTCTAAGATAAAATGTCTAGTTATTCCAGTATGTGAAGAACAATAGTAAAAGACAAAACCCAAAGGATACAGAAAGCTTTAGAAGTGTGAGGAAGTAAATTCTGTTTTGTTACATATATGTAACTACAAATAATGCTTCTGAATAGAAGCAATGATATATGTTAAAATTTTGGCAAAGTTTTTCACAGCTCAGCTTTGATTGATCTATTTTTTTAAATCTCAAGAATGTTTTATTGCCAAATATTACATTAAAGCAAGACTAGAATTTGGCATTCTCTCTGTTTGAATGACATAACAAATTTATTCTTTCTTCTTTTAAAAAAATAGTGTTATTTTTTGTCTTCTTTGTAAATGTCCCTACCGGTAGACAAAAATTCTGTAGCCCACAGGAATCACTTTTTGTGCTTTATGCTGACTTTATATGCTCCATTATTTTAAAAAACATAGTGGATTTCAAAAGTTACTTCTACTAGCTTTGTTTTAAAAATAGTTTTACTCTGATAAATAGGTAACTATACTACAATCATTTCTATTCTCAGATATTTGTACTACCTATACTACTTGATTTGTGTTCACCAAATAGGTATGTTAAAATTCTAACACTGAGTACTGTGAATGTGGCCTTCTTTGCAAACGTTTGTCTTTGCAGATATAGTCAATTTAAGGTCATACTGAATTACAGTGGATGAAGGAGATATTTCTCTCTTTTCAGAGGCCTTCAAATAGCCTTCCATCTTACATATTTCTAATAATTACTCTTAGGAATTAAGGCTCAAAACTTTAATATTTGGTTTCTAAATAATTTATATGTAACTTTTTTCTCTTTTCAGAAGCAAATTTCCCTCCCTCCTAAATGAAAAAATAGACCCAATATCCATGTGGATGATCAAATTAAGGTAGGACAAAGAGAAGCTTCAGCAATAAACTTCAATAGTTAATAAAGACACTCACAATACAAGCCATGACTTAGGATATCTTCCCGTAATTTACCAATTGTCTGCATACTTTCCTCATTGCCATCTTCATTTCTCGATTCCTGAATGTGTAGATGATAGGATTTAAAACAGGAGTGAGAACTGCATCAAAGATGGCCAGAAACTTATCCAGGTGTGTGGAGGGAGATGGCCATGTATAGAAGAAAATCAAAGGACCAAAGAACAAAACTACCACACTGATGTGAGCTGAAAGTATGGACAGAGCCTTGGATAAACCAGCTGAAGAGTGTTTCTGAACAGTGAGAATGATGACAACATAGGAAATGATCAGTATGAAGAAGGAGCCCAAAGAGATGAATCCGCTGTTGGCTGTAACCATGAACTCCAGTCGGTAGGTGTCTCTGCAGGCAAGTTTGATGAACCGAGGAAGGTCACAGTAAAAGCTGTCCAATATATTAGGACCACAGAAGGGCAAGTTTACTACAAAAACCAACTGAACTACAGAGTGGATAAGGCCCGTCATCCAGGCAGCCACTAAGAAGAACATGCACATTCTTGGGCTCATAACGGTCAGGTAGTGGAGGGGCTTACATATGGCCACGTATCTGTCAAAGGCCATGGCTATGAGCAGCACCATCTCCACACCACCAATGATGTGGATGAAGAAGATCTGAGCGATGCAGCCTCCAAAGGAGATGACTTTGCGCTTTCTGAAAAGGTCGTAAATCATCTTGGGAGAAGTGACAGAGGAAACACCCAGGTCAATGAAGGAGAGGTTGGCTAACAGAAAATACCTGGGGGAGTGCAAGGGAGGGTCAGAAGTCACAGTGAGCAGAATGAGAGCGTTTCCCATCATACTGGCCATGTGAAACATGGAGGAGAACACAAGGAGGAGAAGTCGGATGTCCCAGGAATTGGTGAGTCCCAGGAACACAAACTGACACCACAGAGTGATTTGCCCCAACCACTGGCTTTGTTAGCAGTGGTACCTGAAGAGAACAACAGCAGAAAATGTAAATAATAATCATATTAATAAACTAGAAAGAAAGAAGTCAAAGTTATAAAAGTCTATTTCCACTTTAGCATTAAAACCAACCTAATGACCAACAGGTATATAAAAAATCTTATCACTAATCATTAAGGATATGATTAAAATGACAATGAGACATTATCTCAGACCTGTCAGAATAGCTATTACCAAAAAGACAACAGGTAACAAGCCTTGACAAGGCTGTGAAGTGAAGGAACCCTTGTACACTGTTGTTGGGAATATAATTTCTATAGCCATTATGAAACACACTATGGAGTTTCCAAAAAGAGAGAGAGAGAGAGAGAGAGAACTACCATATAATCTAGAAATCTTATTCTGGGTATATATTCAAAGGAATTGAAATACATACCTCAAGGAAATATCTGTACTGCTATGTTCATCATAGCATTATTCACAATAGCTAAGATAGAGTGTTCATTGATACATAAGTAGATGAAGAAAATGTGTGTTTGTGTCTGTGTGTGTGTGTACCTATACAATCAAATACTCTTCAGCCTTACCAAAAAAAAAAAAAAAAAGGGAAATTCTGTCATTTGCAATAACATGGATGAACCTGTAGGATATTATGCTAAGTGAAATAAGACAGACACAGAATTACAAATACTGTAAAATCTCACTTATATGTGGCATCTAAATAAGTCAAACTCATAGAACTAGATATTAAAATTAGCAGCTGACAAGGGTTGATGAAACAGGCAGAGAATGAGATGTTATGCACCAGTACCATGTTTCAGTTAAACAAGACAAATAAATTCTGGAGGCCTGTTGTGAAGCATGGTAACTAGAGTTAATAATAATGTACTTCATACTTAAAATTTCTAGGAGAACAGATCTTCAATGTTTTTACCACAAAGAAATGATAAGTGTAGGAGATGAATATGTTAATTAGCTTGATTTAATTATTTCATACATATACATGTATCAAAGTATCGCATTGTTCACCATAAATATGTATAATTTTTATCTGTTAACTACACTTTAATAAAACTTGCAGAGAGTTGAGAGAAGAACCTAATCTCCTGATAGGCTCTGAAATTGTGTTAACACAGTATGACAACCAAGTGTGAAAGAGAAAACCTTCTCTGCTTTAATATCCCTCTGCTTGTCCCAGAGTAGTGGCTGTGATGTTCCTCTTGAAATACAAGACTGGTCAACATGGGTAACAGAAATTTGATTCCAAATTCTTTTAATTTTTGCTTCAAGAGTAATATAGCTTGGCTCTAGTCACACAAAACTATTTATGTTTTCTCAACTATTGCATCCATTTCCAAGACCACAGCCCTATTCTGGAAAAAACATTCTTCCCCACTCCCCACATCTGGAAAGTATTTCAAGGTTTAAGAAATGTTTACCATAGCTGTGAGGTCTTGCTTTATATTACCAGTACTAATTTTACTATCCCTTATATTGTAGTAAACTGAGTACAAGTCTAACTCACCAAGTTGATGTATCTTAAAGGCAGGGATTAGTACTTTTTCACATTTGGATTCTCTGAAGCAATAAAAAAGTGGTCTACAGAGAAAAGCATGTCCACAAACTGTTAGTTACTGGTTTACTTTATGTTAGATACTGACATTGAGAGTGTTTAGAAAGTTCTTTAATAATATGACATTACAGCAAAATCTAAGTGCTTGATTTTGTATTGTACCAAAGTATAAGTTCAAGAAGCACTGGGGGAAAAAATATGTAACTAAAATAATCTGAGAAGATAATTTGAGAATCACTGCCCTAGACTATTTAGCACATGATCTAAAAAGCTTAAACTACAAAGAGCATTTTGGTACACTGGGAAGCATTTTGTTCAAACCTCTGTGCAAAGATTTATCACATTTTACTCTAATATCAGTTTTATTTAAAGAAGCAACATAGCACGTTGGAAAGAAACCAATATTTATATAATTTTTCAGCCACTTACAAGTTAGTATTGGGCAAGTTATTTAAATTTATGAGTCTCAGTTGGTCTATCAAATTGCAATTAATGATACTCACTTTACAGGGTAAATTGTAAGGATCCAACAAAGTTTTATAATCATGTATCCAGTCAAATTAACTTTTATATACATAAATGCAACAAAGTTAGCCCTAATCTTTCTGTTTCCAAGATTCGACAAACTCAATACCTTTTATATTTACTCTTAGAATGTTTTCTCACTTACCCTGATTCCTAAAAAAAAAAAGTTTATTTATAAGCATTCTCTAAATCCTTCTTCATTCTATCTACAGTTCAAAGATACAATTAATACAAACACTGTAATTTTAAATCATGTAAGAGACGAGGAAAACTAAATCAAGCTCCTGGTGATTTATGTATTATTTTATTTTTAAACTTTTCACATCACATTTTTAAATGACATTACATTGGAAATTATTTACTAGGCTCTGGGTCTTTTGGTCTCCATGTCTTTCATTTCTAATGAAGTATCTATGAGACACTTCCATCTTCCAACTTGACAAATTCTTAAGAAATTTGCTTCCCTTGTTATGGAAAATGATCAGTTTATACCCATCTGTTTTGAAAAGAAAATTGAGAGAAAAATATAATAACCTATGTTTTTCTATCTGCATGTATCAGTTTTTCTTGCCTATTTATCACATGACAAAGGATAAGAATCATTCATGTAATCACTGAGAAGAGAGTGATTAATTGCAACGTATGCTGAATTTAAAATATTGTAAAATCAGACTTTTTCTAATATCTTTCACCTTTCCCTAGACACAACATAATCCTAGCTCAAAGCCAATGCCAGTTAACTTCTTCCAAAATGTCAATAAACTTTTTCACAATTATTCTCTTGTGTTATTCAATTCCTTATCCTGGACCCTATCTACTTTGCTTTAGATTGTGACTCACTTGCATAGCAAGTCCCACAACAGAACCTTGTCTAAAACTAAAGCCAATATCCCGTTGTTAAATTTATTTGCAATCTTCCACTTTACCTGTATAGAGAGAACAACATGTTCGGGTACTCTGGGAGTTTCCTGTGTTCTCTAACGTGAAATGCCATATCATATCCTGCCATAGGAAATATAAGGCTAATTACATATACCTCAAGGGGACAGTGACCAAGTGATACTGCAAAAACATGATAGTTTAAAGGAGCTTATGGATCATGGGCTTTGCCACTAGAGAACTATTTGCTTTGACCAGTGCAACCAAAAGATGCAAAAGTTCATAATAAGATACTAGAGAAAAAGAGGGAAACAAAAGTGGAATATTTTTGCTTAATATATTTGTGCTGTTTTGTTGGCAATAGTGATAACTACTCATTATAATTAATCCCTGAAAATAAGTAAATGTTAAGTCAAAAAATTAACTCTAATCATTTTATCATCTCCAGAAAAGCCACTGTGCCAAATTTTTAGTACAGTTTAAATAGTAGAAGAGTGTATACAACACTTCATTTTCACATAATCATATACTGAGTAGTTACGGATACTTACCAAGATTTAGCTGTAGAGAAATTCATTCCGGTGTTCAGAGCTTAATAGTAAATGAGACAACTAAAACATCCAGCAGTTGATAATAAATTTTCAAAAGTATGCTACATCCATACAATCAAATTCTCTAAAGCCACTGTAAAGCAAGTTTGATATCTATATAGTTAAAGACAACCACAACACACCATTGAGTGAAACAGTGCATACCAAAACAGCACATACTATGCTGCTGTGCATATAAATCTGAATAAATAGACAATAAAGTTTTTGCAATAAGTACTTCTGACAATGAGATTGTTGTGCAAGAAAACAAGGTATTTTTACTTTCAATTTTGTACACTTATGTCAGTCAGGATCCTGCCAGGACAAGAGATGGCACATTCAAATTAGGTAACTGAAGAAGAGCTTAATAAAGGCACAAAACTGGGTGGAGAAGGGTTAAGAGTGACACTGGAGAGACAAATGGAAGCTATGCTATTCTTGTCTGAATCCACTCATTTTTTATCCAGGGGACAAACAGGGCAGGACAAATAATATCAGGGTAGGAGAAAGTTAGCAAAATAGAAGAAATGAGTTGTTATGTCTTTGCAGAGTAATCTAAACCCAGAATGGTAGCTGCCAGTATCTTTCACGTGAATTAGTGGGAAAGGAGGCGAAGGAAAAGGTAATTAATATAAAACATAGCTGTTGAAATCCTCTTTCGTGTGGCTCACCATGAGGACTATTTTGATAACAGCCATTTCATTGCTTCATTAGATGAGCAGATTCTGGGTGGTGCAGTATATGAAGAGGCCAGTAGATCTAATGGTCATGTGCTAACTCTCATACCTCCATATCTTTAATGTGGTATAATATGACATCTTGTGGAATTACATGTCTATGTGTTAATTACTCTGTAATTTTTAGAAAAATGATTGCTTAAGCCCCTAAAGCTTTGTGTTGTAATTATCCAACTAGTGCTTGCTATAAAACTCATTTCTTCTCTTTTCACCACCAATTTTTCTAATACCTGGGTATGCCAGGTAGTATGACCCAAGAAGTAGGGCTATTTGCACAAAATCTGGATTTTTTGCAGAAAAACCTTTTCTAGATTTGCACCCTACTCAAAGCTGACAGACTTTCATGGCTTTCAGCATATGAGTTGTGGTAGTATTCCTGGTTATAGCCTATGCTTCTTCCAGAAATGGAAGAAATCTACCAGGTATAGTTCTTTCTTATTAGTGACAGAAGGTACAAGATGCAATAATTTTCCTTTGATTAAAAGAACAAACCTGGAGGCATCACATTACCAGACTTCAAATTATACTACAAGGCAATAGTTACCAGAACAGTGTGGTGCTTGTATACAAGTAGGCATATGAACCAATGGAACTGAATAAAGAACC